GGGGGGGGAAGTGGGTCCCGGCATGGGTGCACCTGATCGACTGAGGCCGGGAAGTACTTGCTCCGGAGGCGACGGTACACATGCTCGATGCCCATCAACAGCCAGTGGACCGAGAAGAGGGCGGTCGACAGGTAGGTGACAAACATGGGCTTGCTGTAGCCGACATCCACAAAGATATTCTTCGAGCCCCGGGAGGATGGTTAGTGGCAGTCGGCCGGAAGATCTGACAAGCCAAAAAGGGGGGGGGGGCGGGGGAGGGGGGGCGGCAGGGACATACCTGCACCAGGAGTGAGGCCCCCACCCAGAGGCAGATGACCCCGAGGAGGCAAAGCAGCCCGACGAGGTACCGCGGCGTGAGCCAGGCCGGCCTCGACAGACGGAGGAGGTGCGACATGAAAGGCAGGGAGAGGCTGGCCAGGGCGCGCGGGCAGGCGAGCAGAGAGGATGAGGCAGCAGGTGGTGAAGCAGGCGTGCCGGAGGGCCAGCCCGGGATGTGGCCCCTCTTCAACACGGCGATCTCGACACGTTGGCAAACGCCCTCCCCAGCGGGGCCCAGCCTGGGGTCTTGCCCGGTCCCCTGGGCCTCTTCTTCCCGGGCCATCCTCTTAAAAATGGCCGGCAAGGGCGAAGGGACGGCAGGGGGGCGGGGCGCGGGGCCGCCGGGGTGGGACACATGTTGGCTAGCTTACAGGCCGATCGCGATCGGTTGGCATTTCGCCCCTACTGCCAGCGCATGTGCTATCACATGTGGAGGCCCCAATCTGGGCGCACACTAAACAGGCGGGGCGGGGGCGAGGGGGGCCGCCGCGAGCGGCAGACACAGGGAACAAGAGGGGGAAAGAGGGGGGGGGGGGGAGATCCGCCGCGTGTGGGGCCCAGGTGCAGGGGGTGCCCGAGCGACCTCGGGGTCAGCGATTACGTTCTCAAGGGCAATGCCCTGTGTAAGCATCAGCGGGTTCCGGAACGGAGAAAGCCGGCCCGCGGCACACACACACACACACACACACACACACACACCTGGGCTTGGCGGGCCGAAAAAAAAGAACAAGCGAGACCGACCGGCCCGGACAGCCAGGCCCGGCTTCGCCCACTCCCCCCCCCTGGGCAAGCCATACACACTCGCCCTTAAGAGCGACCTCCCGGCGGGGGTGGGTCCCTGCGCGGGCCGATCGTGCACAGTGCCCCACTGCCCGACCCATTCCCCCGTTCTCCTTTCCCCCCCCCCCTCCCCCCTCCCCTGTCTTTCTCCCCCTCCCCTCCCCTCAGATCCCTTTCATCTGGCTTCCTCGCGCCCCCGGTCTCTCTGGCTGCCAGGACCTCCTCTGTCCCCTGGACCCGCTATCATGTCGGGCCCGTCCTCCTTCTCCGGGGCTGCGCTGCTGTCGGACCTGAATGACTTCATCGGCCCGTCGCAGGCGTGTGTCCTGCCGCCGGTGTCTCGCCTTCCTTCGGAGAAGAACACCACGGCCGCGCCGCCTGCTGGTGGCAACGTGCGTCGCACGCTGTGGCCTCCCTCCCGAAACGCGGGCCCGCGCATTTGCCCCCTCCACCTGTGTGCTGACGACCATGGATTTTGCTCCCTCCTTCTTCTGCCCATGAATGACAGACTGGCATGATTGCCATCGAAGGCCAGGTCGACGCCCCGCCCACGCCGGCCCCGCCAACTGCCCCTGCCGATGACCTGCCTCTGGAGAAGAAGGTGGAAATTACTCTGGCCGACTGCCTGGCCTGCTCCGGATGCGTGACCAGCGCCGAAGCGGTGCTGGTTAACTCCCAAAGCACCACCGAGGTCCTGCGCCTGGTTGAGACCAACCATCGTCTGGCCCAGGTACGCCACACGCCCTTGGCCGTGCACCCTCCTCCCCTCCCTTGGCCCAGCTTCCCCGGGTGCCGGGCAACTCACGCTCCATGTTCCCCTGCAGGAGGGCAAGACCTCGGAGATCCGGCCCATCTGCGTGACGATTGCCCCACAAATTGCGGCCTCCTTTGCGGCACGCTACCAGCTTGCCAGTCCGGCCGAGGCCCGGGGGCGGCTGGCGCATGCCATCCGCCGGCTGTTTGGCCTTCCGGCCGATGTCGACCCGGCTGAGGCCACCCCGGCACGCATCTGGGTGTTCGACGAGCGCGAGGCCCGGCGGGTGGGCCTCGCCGAGGCGGCCGCCGAGTTCCTGCACCGGTTCTGCGCGGCTCGCGGCGGCCCGGCCGCCCTGCAGGGGTGCTCCACGGTTCTCGCGGCCTCCGTGGCCGGCCTGCCGGCGCGCTCGGCCTCTGGGCCCGCACGGCGAGCGGCTGCCGCGGCCCCCGCGTCCGCCGGCCCCATCCTGGCGTCCGCCTGCCCGGGATGGACTTGCTACGCGGAGAAGCACGCCCGGGCCGCCCTCTATGTGCCGATGTTGGCCACCACATCGAGCGCCACTCGTGTGGCTGGTGCCCTTGCCCGGCGGGCCGTGGCCGCCGATGCGACGGCCCGCCAAGCCGGCCGGCCCTTCCATGTCAGTGTGCAGATGTGCTACGACAAGAAGCTCGAGGCGGCCCGGCGCTCGGGCGGCCTCGGCGATGAGGCGGCCCCCACCGATGGCGGCCTCGATGTGGACTGTGTCCTGACGGCCGGCGAGCTGGATGCGGCCATCCGCGCGGCCACCGGCCCCCTGGATGGACTTCCGTCCGAGCAGCTGGATAGCCTGCTTGCCAGCTTGGGCCCCTCGGATTGCCCCTCTCATCCGGCCTCTCCCTCGAACTTGGCCTCGCCGGCGTCCGCCACCCCGGGGTCTCCCACGCCCGGGCCCGATGAGGACCTCCTGTCCGACATGGAGGAGGATGCCGGAGCCGGTGGCCTGCTGGAGTACCTGCTCCGCGCGGCGGCGTACGAGCTCTTTGGTCTTGTGCTTCCATTCGGGGCCGTGGCGCACCTGCGCCGGGCGGCGCCCACCCCCGGGTCCCGGGCCTCCCTCCCGCTGGCTCCCTTCACCCCGGGGCAGACTGCTCGCCTGGAAACGCGGGTCGGCCGCAATGCCGATACCCGGGACTTTGTCCTGCTGCTGGTGGCCGATGCTGACGATCCCGTGGAACGTGAGGTTCTGACCTTCGGCACGGCGTACGGCTTCAGGAACATCCAGAATGTGGCCCGCCGAGTGACGCGCCCGGCGCGCCCAGGCGCCGGCTCCGGGTGGGACTTCGTCGAGATGATGGCCTGCCCAGGTGGTGCGTCCATGCCAGGGGACATGCTCCCCGGTCCCCCCTTGCCTCTTTCACAGGGCGGCTCTTTTGTCTCCTTTTCCCCTGGCCCTCCTCCTCACGCACCGCTCCGCCTTGCCCTGCTGCCCTCCCGCGTGCCCTCCCCCTGTGCCCTTCTCTCCCTGCCTGTCTCCCGGTCGACCATCCCGTAGCATGCCTGAATGGCGCGGGCCAGCTTCGCCCGGTGGATCCGGACAAGCCGGACATGTCGCCCGAGGAGGCAGCCCTTTTGCCGCCTCCTTCGCCAGAGGCCGCGCGCGCGCTCCTTCGACTGGTGGCCGAGCTGTATGGCGCCGATGCCGGCCGGACTCCAGCCACCGATTCCGATGCCCTGCAGGCCCTGACGGCCCGGACGCACGCCGCCTGGCTGGCCGAGATGGCCTGGGTTGGCCGAGCGTATGGCGCTCTCTTTGGCCAAGACGCCATCCCCTACGGGCCCGCGGCTCGGGCTGCCCTTCATGTGCGCTACAATGTCATCGAGGCGCCCAAGGACTCCGACCCGGTCAGCCTGGCCAGTGTGGAGTGGTAATGTCGCCAGACATTTGAGAGGTCCCCCCCCCCCCCCCCCGCCCGGAGGGGGAGGGGAACAGACAATAGACATAGATTTTCCCCTGGCCGCCCATTTGTTGATGTGCGTCCATGCGCGCATTCACGCACGCGCGGGCGAAGAAGAAGAAGAAGAAGGGCAAGGGAAGGCCATCGATCTATATGGTTGTATATTGGGAGGGGGCGGAGGGAAAGAAGAGGCGTTGAGGCGCCATGGCGCGGGGAGGGGGGGGGGGGGGACGGGGAACAAGGGCAGAAAAAGGGGGGGGGAGGGGAGAGATGGAGGAAGACCTTAGGCCTGGATCTCGTCCAGAGTAATCTTAAAGATCTTGAGCAGAGACTCCGGAATGAAGGCACCCCGAGGATCTGGGACGAAAAAGAGAGGCACAGGAGCAATGAGGGTGAGAAGGGCGGCGGGGAGAGTGTGGTGAAGGGCATGTGCTCGGGGCGCGGATGTGAGAGCGCCGAGAGGGAGGAGAAAAAAGACGCACCCCCACGGTTGTGGAACTGAGCGAACTGGACGGTGCAGATGCGCAGGCGAGCAAGCAGAGGGGCCGCCTTCGGCTCGACGTCCTGGATCGCCATCAAGCGAGTGACGATGATCGGCAGCAGGACATCCAGGTTCTCGCCGACCGGCTTCAGGCAGGGGCTTTGGAGGGGAGAGGAGGTGGCGGTGGCGGCGGCGGCGGCGGCGGCGGCGGCGGCGGCGGCGAGGGGCAGGGAGTCCGTGTGTCGTCAGTGAAAATAGTCGGCGCAGGGGGAAATAGACGTATGGGGGGGGAGGGGGGGAGGAGGAGGGAAAACAAGCGAAGAGCCGAGGCGCGGGAGGGCGATCGGGCGCACAGGTTGCTCGGGTAGAAGAAAACCTCCGCAGCATAGATGGTGCTGTCGTTGGTATTGGCATTCAGGCAAGCGCGGATCAGAAGGGAGAAAGTCGTGACGTTCGGGGTGTACTGGCGGCGCATCATGCGGAAAGCCTCGAAGCCTGGATGAAGGGCAAAAGGGAAAGGGGAAGTCAGCAAACCGACCGAAGGTGTGCACATACACGGCCGGGGCGAGGCCCGGCAAATGTGGCGGATAGCAGGCAGCACGCACAGCGGGGAAGCAGGCTGGGGTCGGCGCGGCAGTCGATGGCCAGGCGGTACAGCAGCCCCTGAAGATCCTGGAAAGAGGGATAAAGAGTGTACTTGGAGGGATTCTTGAAGTACTTAAACATCAGCAGCGGCTGGTTGATGCGAATGAGGGCCTTGGCGAGAGCACCACCGGTCTGGATGTTGATGGTCTGATGGCGAACACGGAAACTGGAGGACGAGCGGATGGCCAAGCGGCAGGGAAGGGAGGAAGGTGGCCGAGCAGACGGATGGTCAGATTTTCAAAAAAAAAAAGCGAGCAGAGGGAAGGAGGAGACGAGCATCTGAGGCAGGGTAAGAATGCACGCACGAATGGATGGCCTCGTCAAAGAGAGCCAGGTCGGCATCTGAGTCAATGGCACGAGCCAGGTTCAGCAAGTCCGACTGGGCGGGAGCCTGCCCGAGGAGGGTGCGCTCCTGGATCTTGGCCATGAAGGTCTCCGCAGGGGTAGAACCCTCGGGAAGGGGGGCCGCGTTCTCCTTCAGGTTGGCCAGCAGGGCGGAGCTGTCCGGCCGGGGGAAGAGGGCTACAGCATTTTATGAGGCGCCGAGGAGGAGGGGGGGCGGGGGAGAGAGAATCCCCAAAAAGGAGGGAGAAGAGGAGACAGAAGGTCAGCCAGAGGAGAAGGCGGAGGCGGAGGACAGGAAAAGAGAGAGAAGGAGGGGGAGAGGGAGAGAGAGAGAGAGGGAAGAAGGGAAACGCACGCGCGGGGTTGCCATCAGAAGGCTCGTTGGGGACAATCAGGCGATCACCAGGCCGGGTACGAGTGACAGTCGAGAAGAAGGCAACCATGGAAGCGGGGCGGGCGGCGGAGGCGGCGGCGGCCTCGAGCGCCCGGAGGGCGGGGGCTGTGCGGGTAGCAATGCGGAAAAGCATCTTTCGGGTTCGTGAAACTAGTTGAGGAGAGAGAGAGAGAGGAACAAAAAGAGGAGCAGAAAAGACCGTTAGTCCAGGGGGTCTGACAGAGGGTGGTGGGGGGGGGCCCTTTTGCGGCGATAGGAGGGATGGGATGAAAGAGAGAGAGGGAGAGAGAGGGGGAGAGAGGGGAGAGAGAGGGGGAGGGAGGGGGAGGGAGGAGAGGGGGAGGGAGGAGAGGGGGAGGGGCGCGAAATGTACAGGAAAGGAGAGGGGGAAAGACGACCGATATCCTGAGGCATCACAGCGCACTCTCCCCGATGAGGATGCAGATCAACCCCCCAACTGAACCGGACATGCATGCATGCGCGCGCGCGTGCGCGCGAGCAAGCGAGCATCCGGCCGAGTGGAGACCTGTGGTTGAGCCGCACCAGGGGCATCCGGGGAAACAGCGCCCAGCCTCCAGCGGCGGGAAGGGTCGATGAATGAGCATGGCGAAAAAAATCCCGAACAGCTTGGGAGAACAGAGGAAGGGCCTCTAACTTGCAGCATGCGGGGAGAGTACAAACTGGGGAGCGCGTCGCTTCTGAATGACATTTCGATGTCTGTGACTGGCAGGTGATCCTGAGGCGCCAACGGATTGTCCCGGCCGCACCCCTGGCCATGAGGCATGTCTCTCGTTGTCTCTCCCCCCGAGCGGCGGGGTTGCCTGGCGGGCGTCAGTCAGCAGGGCCCCCCCCCCCCATTCAGGACACTTGACTTTCTCAAATGTACCGCTTTCTCTCTCTCCCTCTCCCTCTCCTAGAAGCGACTTCCCCAACTGACTCCTCTCCTGGGAGAGCGAGAGAGAGAGAGAGAGAGAGAGAGAGAGAGAGAGAGACAAGCACACAGCAACCATGGTGACACTAGGACGCAGATGTTCGAGAGCATCCCCGGAACGGCACACAGGTGCCCGCCCCGCGCACCGGGGGTGGCCCGAAAGCATGGAGGAAGAAGAGATTCCGACCAGCTCCGGGAGATCCCTCGAAACGCTGGCAGAGTCCCTTGTCCTTCCCCCCCCCCGTCATCTTACCCTTCT